GATTTCCATAGTGGTTGTATGAGTTTATACTCCCACCAACATTGTAAAAGGGTCCTGCCCACCCCACACTCCAGCCTTGCCAGCATTTTGAGTTATTGATGACAACCATTCTTTCTGGAGTAAGATGGGATCTTAGCATTGCTTTACTTTGCGTTTGTCTAATGGCCAGTGATGTTGAGCATTCATGTATTTATTATCCATTTGTACTTCTTCTGTGAAGTGTCCATTAATTTCGCTTGCCGATTTTTTCATTAGGTCTTTTATCTTTGGGGAGTCTTTTTTGAGTCCTTTATATAGTCTAGATACTAGTCCTGAGAATTAAGTAGCAAAAACTTTTTCCCATTCTGTGCATTGTCTCTTCACTCTGTTGCTTGTTTCCTTTGCTGTATAAAAACTTCTTAATATAATCCCATTTATTGGTTCTTTATGTTATTTCTTGTGCAATTGAGGTTCTGTTCAGAAAATCCTTGTCTGTGTCTATGTCTTCAAGACCTGTTTTTATCTTCCAGAAGATTGTTTCTGTTTTATTATCTAGGTCTGGTCCATTTTCATTTTATTTTAGTGCATGGTGAGAGATACAGGTAAAGATCACTGATCTCGACTTTCCCATATTTGAAACCAATGGAGGCATCCCTGTCTCTGTCAGGTCAAAGTAACATTACTCATGATCATACATTAACACCTATGAATATAATGTGCATTAGTTTTGGATTAACTAGCGTTTACTTAGAAAAATAGGAACTTTTAGTTTTTATAATACAGAAACAGGTAAATGTGGATGTCTGTAAAGTAGGGCCAGTGAAGAATGAAGAATGGCAAGTCCACTATGAAGGTAGTGCAGGATAGCAGAACCAGAGGCAGAAAACGTCCGATCCAAATTTGCCAGAGGCCAACCTGCTTGGATCTATCTCAGGACCTGTCCAGGTACCTGGATTTAAAGCTAAAGTGCAACTCAGATGATGTAAAGGCTCATCATACCTTCTAGGTACAAGGTACCCAGCATGGGCCCTGGGGTGCTGCCCTAGCCCCAGGTTCTCTCTCAGGATCCTGGGCATGTGAAGACAAGGGAGTCAACTCTAATATAAATAAAAATTATATAAGCTATTTTTCCCCTTTCAGACAAAATATTAATTACATTTGGGGGGCTGGGAATTGAATCCAAGGCCTCCTTGCATATGGTAGGCAAGCATTCTATTACTGAGCTACATCCCCAGTTCTACGTTTAGTATTTACTGATTCTAAATGTAAACTGAATAACCATTCTTTTCATTTGGTTCAAACTTTGTCCTTGTGATTCTAAATTACATCCATTACCACAAGAAATCCCAACCTCGCAGGTCACCCCTCATCTCTCATCTGCTGAATCACTCAAGGCTCTTCACATCTTCTGCTCTGAAGCCTTTCCTCACCATCCCCAACTTCTGAGACTCTTTCACCGTGCCCTCAGTATATCAGCAGGCAATCTCTTCTAGGATTGTTTCCTTTACCTTCTCGTTCTATGTCAATCTGACCCAGCTCTGTAGATGCTGATGATGTCCCTTCAGACTTCCCAGAGCTGCATACCACTGGACTTGGGGGTGGGAGAGGGCTCGTTCTTGCTCATCACTGCTTCTCCACCAGGGTACTCCACCCTACTTCCTCCTCTGCACCATATTTCTTTTTGAATTCATGGTCTCTAACATTGTCACTCACTTTCCTTATCGCAGAGATCACTATGTCTTTTTCTCAATGACTTGAGCTTTTGCTACTGGCATTCTTCCCAGCACTTCTCTTGTCCTAAGTCCTGCTTTTAATATATAAATTTATAATCCTGACCTTGACTCTCTTCCAATGAGCCTATGTTCCATACCCTTCATCACTCACTGCCACCCCAAACTAGACTTTATTATCACTCTTTCATAATTTCAATTTCCTATATCCCATTCTGATATTGTTGTGGTCATTCTGCAAACAGGATGGACTCCTCCACCTCAATTTTGGCTTGGACATCGAGGGTAATGATACCATACATGCACCCAAAGAAAAAAGGTTTATTACTCAGATCATGAGTCTCTCTGGGGACAGCAGGTCCCCAGCTGGTCCATAAATAGTTTAAGGGAGCAGAGAAAAGAGACTCTTTCAGGGTTTTATGGGGGATGGGGGATGGAACTTCCTGCTTGCACCAAAGGCATCTGGTTTTTCTTACCACCTTGCTCAGATGTGCAACAGAAAAGGAAGCGAGTAGTAGGGGTTAAAAACTGAGTCAAACTCTTTATTATACATCTCTTCTTTCCAGATCATTTCCTCTTTTCCCTTTACTCCTATAATCTCTCCTACCTATACAACTTATTGAGCCTTATTACCTATTTCAACTTATTGAGCCTGCCAACTTTTCATTGTCCTCAACCTCGTCATATCCACTCTTCTTTCTTCATTCATCTTAATTCTATGGTGAATCGTAATTACTCCCCTGCTCATGTCTTGCTCCCCTCTTCTTACTCTTATTCCCTTGGTTAAATTTGATTAACTAAAATTCTCAGCTACTCTGAGTCTTCATCCTAGCAGCTGATTATTGCTGAAGAAAAAAAGCACAATCACAGTGACTCATCCTACTTAAATGTACATTCATGAACTCAAGTGGGCCCTTAATGACACTCAGCAAACACATAATTTTTTTCAACTTTTTTCAATCTATATTTGACTGCACTTCAACCACAAGTTACTGTCCCTTTTTAGGGCTCCCTTTGGAGGATAATTTCTCAATAGAATTGCCTATATTAACCCTTCAATTCCTTTCCTCCTATTTTTAAACCCACTCTCATTAAATTTTTACACCATTTCTCTACTGAAATGTTATCAATCCCTAGATCTAATGGTCAATTCTCAATCCTCACTCACATATGAGTACTTCCTTGTCTTTTTCTTTCTTTTTGCAGTTTCAGGGACTGTACCCAGGGCCTCAGCATGCTAGGCAAACGCCTCAGCCCTATGCTACATCCTCAGCCCTTTGTTCTCCTACATCATGTCTGCTACTTCTCAGTGTCCTGTGCTGGCTGGTCCATTTCTCCCTCAATTTGCATTATCCCAAGACCTTAATCTAAGATTCCCTTCCTTCTATTTACACTCACTCCTGCTCCTTTGGTGCTCTTATCCAGTCTTACGCTTTAAATACTATCTAAATGCTGATATCTCTCTTATACCTCTAGCTTGGACCATTGTGCTAAACTCCATCTCATATATAAAGCTGCCTATTCAAGATCTCTACTTCAATTTTTTTGTTTGTTTTGTGTTTTTTGAGATAGGATCTCTCTAGGCAGTTCAGGTTGTCCTTGAACTTGCTATGTAGTGCAAACTGGCCTTGAACTCTGTGATCCTCCTGCCTCAGGCTCCTGTAAGCTAGGATCACAGGTGTGCGTCAGGATGCCCGCCTCTCCACTTCAGTTTCTAATAACTATCTCAAATGTAACTTATAAAACTGAATTCCTGATCTTTTTTCCTCAAACCTACTTTACCTGTACTGTTCTCTATTTCCCTTATATTTTCCCCATAACACCTTATCAGGTTTCTTATCCTATATGTTTTTCTGATTATTGCTTCTCTCTCCCACTCCTAAAATATCCACAAAGGTAGGGGATTTTGTTTGTGTATATGGCCAAAACAATTTGAACAATGTCTGCATACGCCATCAATATTTGTTGAATAAGTTGGTGAAACCAGTGGAATCTATCCTTACCCTACTCAAATTACTGGTCTAACCCAAAATGAAAATCAATGAAAAATGGGTTAATCTCCAAGCAACAAAACACCAAGGTTAAAAACCCGGGCTCCAGAGACGGAAAGCACCAGAGCAAGGGTTATGTAAAAACCCACGTCTGAGTAGAGAGGTGTGCTTCTGGGGAAACCACTTCTCAGCAACAGCCCTGAATGAGTTCTAAATAGCCACTTAAACTTTGTTGGCTTCATGTGAAAACGTGGTATGTGGGGTAAAATGAAGTGAAAACCGCATCTTCCTCCATAGAAGTCATTCATATCAACAGCTGTTCTCTTACCAGGGTGGCTCTCTTTGCCTTATTTGGACCTAACTGTCAAAAGAAAGTCACCACACCCAGTGTTGCGTAGCCTTAACTGAGAAGCTATGCCACGTCTTAGGGCTCCTGCTTTCAGAAATGTATTCAGTTCAGCATATTTTTTTTCCCCTTCTGAATCAGGGTTCTGGGGTGGGGGTAGGAAAACGCCGAAGCCGTCTTGAAAGCAATACAACACAAAAGAGTTGGAAATGTACAACAGTACTTTTTTTTTTTTTTTAAGGTGAAGACCAGAGGCGAACTGGACGTGGGGGGCAGGGGGCGCACCGATTCCAGCAGAGCAGAGTGCGTCCCTGGCGGGCGCAGAGCCCAATGCTCGAGGTGGGCGCGCCCTGAGTTCGGCAGACCCGGGCGCTGTCCGCGGTGGGTGCGGAGCTCAGACTTTGCAGGTCCTTGGCGCCAGGTGCCGGAGACACTGCCTTTTCCCCACTCCCACCCGCCGCGCGCGCTACGCAGAACCAGCCTGTCCCCAGGGAAGAAGCCCGGAGCGTGCTTTGAATTTCGATACAACCCGCCCAGACTCGTCCGGACTCCAGGAGCGGACTCCAGTCCCACACCCCGGGTGGAGAGTGGCGGGACGCGCAGCGGCGCAGAACGGAGCAAATGGCCAAGACCGCGCTCGCGGAGGGCTAGGGGCACGGCGGGCGCGGATTCCTGCCCGCCCCTCTCGGAGCTGAGCGTGCAACACTCGCGCTCCGCGGCGCCTCCTCCGCGCGCCTCCCCTTTAAGCGGGCGGAGCTGTTGGGTTTGTGTCGGCGGAGACGAGGCGCGACTCCCCTTTATGGAGGAGTCGGCGGTCGCTCTGACAGCAGCGGCGGCTCGGCGAACAGAGCAGGAGGCCGAGCCTCGGGCCGCCCGCCGCCGTCAATGCGGCTGGGCCGTGGCGGGGGCGGGGGAGTGGGCGGGCCCGGCCAGGCCGGGGGCGGGGAGGCGACGGGAGGCGGGGAGCCGGGCGGCCGGCGCTCGGGTCCGCCTTCGACTGCGGCGCGGCGGGGCGATGTGTGATTACCATGGCGAGGAGTCTCTGTCCGGGGGCCTGGCTGAGGAAGCCCTATTACCTCCAGGTAGGCCGGTGGCGTCCCGCCAGCCGCCAGCGCGCGCTCCAGGCCGCGCGGCACCGCCCGCCCTCGCACTCCGGTCTGCGCCCGCCAGGACCCCGCCACCCCCTACAGTCCGGCAACTGGCGGGGCGCCCTCCCCGGGCGCCGCAGCCCGCGCCCCCCCGCTGCGATCCCCCGCCCCGGCAGGCGCCGCCGGGAGCCCAGGTCGTCCCCGCTCTCCCCCGGTTCGCCCTCGCCTCCCGAGCACCCCAGAGCTCCGGCTGACCTGGGTGCGACCCCGCGCGCTGCCAGGCTCCGCGCCCCGCCTGCCGGAGCTGGGGATGCGCCGCCGCCTTCTGCCCGGGCTTCCCGGGCTTCCCCTCCCCGGTGCGTCCCCCAGGCCCGCTCTTTTTGACTCTGGGTCTCGTGTCTTCAGTGAGTGGTAGGAAAGGTGGTGTGTCATTCCTCCATATTTTAGGAAATTATGACAATTTGTCATATCGGTGTGTCCTTAAGCCTCGAAAAGCGGCGTGCGCCTCGTGCGGAGTCCAAGGATTTGGCCTGCCCATCACACCCGTGGTTTAAAAGGGAGGTAGAGATCAGGAGCCCCATCGAGACGATGGATATTTGCTTCTGAAAAGGAAAGGGAACAGTGGCTGGTGTGCGGATCTCCAGTACCCCAGCAGTACAAATCTAATTCTCAGTCATGTCGTGTGTACTGTTCGCGTGTTAATTTTTCATGATTTCCCGTTCCATCTTCTGTTCCGCCACCAGTCTATGCCTTCGAACCCTACTACTGCCTTCAGGTACTGTTTGGTCACCAGGGGGACCTAGTAGACACCGTGAGTAGCTGAGCGCAAATCCATCATTCCCATGGAAAAACAACTGCAAATCAATGCCTCACTTGGGTTAGCAGTGTTATGAACATTCAGAGGACGCTTTTCCTTCACTGCTTATATTAAAGGCTTAACGGTATTGGTAGGTTATTTTGGGTCACCTGGTGCTTTTAAAAATCATGAAAAAAGTTGAGAAGAAACCATCGTGGAGCATGTAAATCTTAGATTTGTGTTTGAAAATCGTACGTGTAGATCATCACCCTGAAATGAGTGAAAATTGGAAACATGATTTGAAAATTCATGATGTTCTGAGTCGTTGAAGTAATGCCACCAGTAGTAATTGTGCCTTGAGTTACAGTATTGCATCCTAGGCTAGAATTCGACTCAGCCAGGTAAATAACTCTTTATGTGAGTTTAAAAAAGAAAAATCTTTCCAGACTATTCTCAAAGAAAGAAGATTTTTTTAAAATTGTTACTAAAATTACATAGTTCTCTATGCTTAATTTCTTAGATTTGGTACTAGACTTTATTTTAGACTTTAAATTCTTCTAGCTATAAATGTTTTTCACAAATGTAACTGACATTCTTTGGCATTGCTGCACAAGAGCTGTCAGATGGGCTGAGTTAAGATTAGTTTTACAAATAGCTATGCTTCTGTAAATGGCAAACATTTGGCATTTCTGATTTCCTAAATTTGCACGTCATTTCTATTACCAAGTTAAGGTTATCATTTTAAACATTTTAAAAGGATATTTTAATAGTTTATTGCCATATAAAATAATTATTGGTCTAAAACTTTGTAGGCTATAACATTATAGTGCATAGTATTATAGATTTAAAAAGAAATATAAAACCTGGAAGTTAGAATTCCAAGTGACTAATATTTTATATAACATCTTAGTATTAATATTTATTCTTTATGAATTTTCTGTTATCCCTCACCATACTAATTAGACCAGTTTTTTTTTAAGGTCTTGAAGTTACTCAAGTGTCATATTTTCTTCCATTCTCTATTGCCTAATAAGTGCTTTTTACACTTCATCTACTGCCAGGTGCTTCAACCTCAAAATTGTTTTGGGCAAAGTCAAAATATTTTCAACTGAGACTATTACATGGCTACATTCTCAGCCATAAAAGGTGGAGGTAATATGTACAGTATTCCCTTTCCTTTTTAATATATATATTAATTTAATATGTATATTAGAATAAAATGATGTCCTTTAGGAACAGAATGAGGCATGAGAACAGAACTGAGTTCTGTTCACACTTGTTTTTTGGTTTTTTTTGTACCGGGAATCAAACTCAGGACCTTGTACTTGCCAGTCTGGCGCGGGTGCCACTGAGCTAAATCCCTGGCCCTTTGTTCACACTTGTGCATCTTGTTTATTATGACCTTGAAAAGTTGCTTAACTTTTTGGTTCTTTCATTTCTGTATCATAGAGATTAGAATTCTTAACTGACCAATAACATGAATGTAGTTGACTAAGCTAAATGAGTCAAATTTGTTTTATACCTTTACAGTTTTAATCAAAAAACATGTTAAAAAAAAAAAAAGCATGTGAACTTAAATAATAAATTCTTATAGGTAAATACATTGAATCCCCTCAACTAAAGGTTTTAGGCTTTCTACCCCTGCCTTTTATTTATTGAACATTTATTGACCTAGGTGCATGCTATGACTTATTGTATTGATTCAGTCAGTTACTTGGTACATATTTTGTTGGATGTCTGTCACATACCAATAACTGTGAGGCAGTGAGAATTCTGAGGGAACTAATAAAGCAAATAGCTTTGTGGTTCTCAGTAAGTTTAAGGTCCAGTCAGGGAAACAGACTTTAATACATAATCTAGTTGTGGTGGCAACCAGTTACAAGAGAAAAGAGGGACTGGGTGAGGTGTCACAAGCCTGTAATTTGAGCACTTTGGGAGGCAGGAGAATGGAAAGTGTGTGCCCAGACTGGTCAATTTAGCAACTCAGCAGGACTCTGTCTCAAAATTTAAAAAAAAAAAAAAGACTGAGGATGTTGTTGAGTGCATAGTTCTTGTGTTCAATCCCTAAAACCAAGGAAAGGACAAAAAGAGCAAACTGTTGATTGAGAGAACAATTTGATTATTTTTTTAAAATATACTAGTTTAGGGCTGGGGAGTTAGCTCAGTGGTTTTGCCGCCTGCTGCGCAAGCGCAAGGACCCGAGTTTGATCCCTGGTACCAAAATATATATATATATTACTTTGGACATTTTTATACATATGTAAAACAGAAACGAATAATGAATTCCATCTACCCGTCCATCTGCCCTGAATAATTATCAAGATTACATTTCATTCCCCATCCCCATATCCCTTTGAAAGAAAGTTGCTTTTTGTTTTTTGCTTTTCGGTACTGGGGATCAAACTCAGGACCTTGCACTTACCAGGCAGGCACGAAAAGAAAGTATTTTTGAGGCAGGCGGTGGAACCACTGAGCTAAATCCCCGGCCCAAAAAGAAAGTATTTTAAAGCAAATTTTGTATATCACATCATTTCATCTACATACCATAGTTGCTTTTCTTCCTAGTTATGCATCATCCTGAGAGTACTGACTAAATTTGATTTGCCATGGAGAGGCTTTATTGTGATCTGAAAGGGTCTCTTGGCAGGAACAAAAAACTCTTGCTTTACCAGCTTATTCATTTGAGAAATTCTTATACAAAAGAAACCGATTCTCATTTCATGTTTTGGGAGGACATCTTGGAATAAAATGTTTAAGTAACATGTCTGCATGGCTGTATTTTTTTTTTTTTGGGGGTACCGGGGATCGAACTCGGGTCCTTGTGCTTGCGCAGCAGGCGACGAAACCACTGAGCTAAATCCCCAGCCTGGCTGCATTTTAATTTACAATGAGGCTGTAATTATTCAACATGTATAAGAGGTCTTATTTTGTTTGTCAGTAGGAAAAGTTTAGAGTATAGGACGGAACTAGATTTATTTCAAAGAGGGGAGATATGAAGGGCTTAGAGAGAGGAAAGGGAGCTTTCAGAGACCAGCTTTGTACACTTGCAGTTTTGCAGTTTGTCTTCAACTGAGTGAGATCAAAGATCACTTATGTCCTGAGGTGTTCAGGCCTTAGAACTTACAAATTCCTTTTTCCCTTATAACTTACAGGGAAAAACTTGTAAACATTTGACTCTTAAAGGAGCTTAACTCCCAGTGTTTTATTAATCTAGATATCATTGTGGTAGTTAATAACATTTTTAGAAAACTTAGAATTTTCTAATTAATGATATATAATTTCAGCTATGATAGGTATTTATGGGCTGATATGGGCAACTAACTAGTCACTGTGTTTACCTTTGTTTAGAGAGCATGTGTGGCATATTCATGTGGTAGAATACTATTCAGCGGAATACTATTCAGCAGTAAAGTGAAATGAAGCACTGATAATGTATCTTTTTTTTTTTGAGGCAGAGTCTCGCTTTGTAGTTTAGGCTGGCCTCGAACTTGTGGCAATCCTCCTGCCTCAGCCTCCCAGTGATAATGTATCTTAACACAGATGAAACTTGAAACATTAAATATATGAGACAAGCCATTTACAGAACATACTATATGATTCTATTCATATGAAATATCCAAAATGGGTAAATTTATAAGGACATAAAATAGATTAGTGGTTGTCTCAAGCCAGGAGGTTGATGGAAAATGAAGAGTGACTACTAATTGGGTAGGAGGTGTTTTGAGGGAGGAGATGAAAATGTTATGTATAGTGGTGATGGTTGTACAACTTTATGAATGTACTACAAACCACTGAATTCTATGCTTTAAATAAATTATAGGATATATGAAATATGTCTCAATAAAACTGGAAGAAAGGAAGGGAGTGAGTTTATTCTGTGGTGGTCCTTGTGTTTGTACCTTGCTGCAGAGCCCACAAAGGCAGCTTTTTGGAGCAGGAAGCATTTGCTTACAGGGGAGTAGTACAGGCACACTGTGCAGCCTGAGAAGCAAGAGGGGCTGGGACTTCTCTGAAACGGGTAGCTAAGAAACAAACCTCTCATGGCAAGACATCATTCCCAGAGTAAACTAATTTACACTTCCATCCTTTCCTCTTATTGAATACTTACCTGGGAAATAGCACTTCCTGAATTGACCAAATATCACAGCTTATTGAACAGAGCAGAATCTTGTCTCAATGAGAAACTGTGGGTCTGTTA